TACTTGTTTAACTTCACTCATTTTAAAATGAAATAAGTGAATGTGGAGTCTTGCTTCTAGTTAAAGACTACAGACCTGTCACTCCAGTTTTGGGGTACAGGAGCTGGAAGAACTCCTCTGGGATGAGGCCATGACGGACCTTGCCTCCCTTCTCTGGCAGAGGGGGCACTGGGGCCAGACTCTGGGATGATGTGTGCAGGGAGCGAGATGCCTGGACAAGACTGATGGGGACAATGATTATGAGCTACTGCTTTCAGAGATACAGCAATCATAGCATTTATATTTATTGTTCATTATCGTCTTAATACCAACTTTAGTAAATGTAACAATTTCTAAGGCACATACCCAGCTCCAAGGGGAGAACCTCCTTTCAGGGCACTGGCTGCAAATAACAACAGAGAAAATAAGATCAACACGGGGTTGCGAATAACGCTTGCTTTCAGTCATGTTTTGCCATCAGATTGTTCTTTGATTAATTAGCACGTCTCTTAATCTCAGACAGAGCTGAACATTACAAACTAACTGCACGGCTAGCTTAAGTGTAGCTAATAAAGTTGCATGTGAGCGAACTGTACTATACAATAACAGGTCCACACGAATCCACTCATGATGACTTCAGTACCCACACGACAAAACAAGTTAAATGTTTGGTAGCAATGTGGCAAATTAGCAGCTAGCCCATGCATTAAGACAAAACCATATTTTGGTGGTCATGTATTGTGAAGCCAGTGTTGCTAGAAATGTAAAGAACATAAAATCGACCAATGCTAACTAGCTGTTAGGTGACATGTACAGGGGTGCAGAGCTAACGTTAGCCAATGTAGCTTCTGTTTGCTGCGCTTAGCCATCATCACCTAATTTAGTTAGCTGAAAGGAAACATTCAAATTCTTTCCTATTAACCAAAACACAATTATACATAAATCAAACTAGCTACAGTTTGACAGCAGGTATCTTACTTGTTACCATCAGCTAACATTAGCATATCTTTCATTCAATGTGCGGCCTTCACTTTACCCTTCAGCTTAACATTAACTTCTAATTAACTCTTGTTTTTCTGCTTGACAGTTTGGTTATACCAGAATTAGGTGAGTTTTATCAATCATATTTAAAGCCACGTGAACGCATACCTGAAACAAAAACGACCCTGGACAGCATGTTTGAAAGATTAAGTGCCAAGTTCTTGCTACACCGGGTAGCCTTATTTCGGCCTCTCCGTGCCCTTCTGCAAGGAACCACAAGGATAGCAAACACACGAAATCCTCTCGAAGCATCGCGAGAACAAGGCTCCAGTTTTTAAAGTTGTTAAAGAAAGCGACTAGTAGATGGCGCTGCATGCACAGACAACATTCGTCGCTGTCCTAAAGTAATTAAGGCTTCAATGGAGTGAATTACAA